TACTTTTAGGCACCAAAATACAAGTGCCTTCATTATTAATAAGTAATGTCAACAAGACAGGCTTAATTAAAATCTAAATGCACAGTTTAGAGCAATGCCTCTTTTTGTGATCTTGCACCACTGTGATGTCAAAGGCCTTCTACAATTTAGCTCCAGTGGTCTGTTTTCACAGATTTCTGAAGAAATACATACAATTACTTAGGAAATTAAAGAACATGCAAATATTAATCAGATATCATAATTCATTGGTCTTTTAAATCTATGCATCTAATGAAGCCCATAGAATTAAATCACAAAAGCATTGGAGACCTTCCTTCTCTCACAACAAGCCACATCTTGAACTTCTTATACTCAGTCTGGTCTTTAATCTGGACAAAACTAACTCAGACTGAAGCACAGATGAAAAGAAAAGATTTCAGAAATTACAGGCATTCTGCATTGTTCCAACAACAAGGTATAAGCAGAAGATCTGCTGTATTTTAAAAGGTGGAGCTCTGTATTGGTTTATAATTGCACCTCATCAACATCAATAGCATTATCTCATCCTGAAAGGAAGAAAAAGTCCCTGTATTAGAGAGTTTCTAAATTAGAGATGGACCCCAAATCTCCTCAGAATATAAGAACAAGAACTAAATTTCAAGGCTTATCCTTTGTGTCAAGCACAGGTGAACAGATGAGGTCCAAGACACAACACAAAAAGAACTGTAACAATCTTAGCAAACCACTGTATTTACCACTGCATCATCAAAAGCATGGTACCTTAAAAAAAAAATGGAATTTTGTTGTTTCAACAAAAGTTTAACCACCTGAAGAAATTACAGCACTGTGATAACACAGAAGTAATCCAAGTGGTCTTTAAACTTTCATCATCTAAATATTACACGTCAGATATTGCTTACTTTGAACATTAGCTCTTTTTTTCTTTTATTAGTATGAAGATACAAAGTCTAAAGTCAGTAGGAAAAATTTGCTCAGTTTTTCTGCCTCCAGTTTGAATGGTCAATAGTCAAAGTCTCTGATCATAAACTGCCATGTCTGCTTCTGTTGCCCACATCTTATCCTGGCAGTAGGGGAGGTTAAGTACAGCAAAACATTTAGATTAATGTGTAAGCAGAACAACAGAGCTGAACTATGGAAACCACTGAGCAAATGAATCACATCTTCAGTTCTTGGAACTTGCTTCAGGATTGGATTTGGAAGTCTGGAGTTGATGCAGAAGACAAGCTCTGCATGGGCAAAACAAAATTGTGTTGAGCTTCAAAATGTCAGAGGACCTGCAGTCCTGATAGGCAGTTATTATTTTCATTAGGTATTAAATACCATGAAATCTTCAGGAGTTGCTGCAAGCTGGTTCTAAGCTCATTTGTATTCACTGTGTCTGCCCATTTCATGTTTCAGTGCCCCCCCGTGTCATTAACCTTCAGAGGAAGAAAAGACCTGATGATTTAATCTATCTACAGACTTTCATCAGAGCCTTGTTGTCACAGGCAGGCAGAATTCATACTGGATGGTCTCCAGTGTTAAGGTGCAATATATGGCATTCAGGGCTTTTAAAATAGGAATGGCATTGCTGCATTGGAGACTATGCAGAGAGAGCTTCATTAGTTTTTCATCTATGAGGGTTATCAGATTAAACAGAAGTGATCAATGCCAAATATTTTTTTGTGTCAGAGCTCAGAAGAATTAGTCTTTTGAGGACAACTTCTGATCCCAAATAGACCAATGTATATACACATTATAACATATTCCATAGTTTCCAGTCAAAATCAGTAGCATTATCTATCATTTGTTATTCTTAGAGTCATCAAGTCAAGATAGAAATCAATGCTTTTAGCTCCTGCAAAGTAGGGGGTGCCAGCTCATACTGGTATGTATTTAACATTCACAGTTATCCTAAGACCCTGTTTTGTCTGGGTTTAAAACCACAGACACTTACAGGGACACTACTCAAACTTTGCATGAAGAGAAGAGAATGCAGGATTGTCAATGGCAATACAGAAACAGTAGATTCACTCAGATCTTTCAGTTTTATGCAGCAGCCATACCCAGTAACAACAGTAGTGTGCAGCCATTCTCAGGCACCACAGCACAACGCAAATATTCAGACGTGCATTTTCCTTAACTGATCAAAGCAGTTTAGCTACACACCCATCCTTTGCATACAAATGCTTTAACACAGTAAGAATGACTTATAATATCCTGTCACCAAATTTTACTACTGTAAGTGTAATTATTTAGGCTAAAGGGTTAGAGTTTGTTTTGTGTTTATCATTCAACAGCCTATTGCATTTGAGTAAATTGCACAAGACCAATAAAAAAAAAAAACCTTCTTATATAGTACCTAGAAGTGATTAAATGGCAGCTTTATATGGTAATGACCTTTAGCTCCACTCTTTCACAGCTCAGACTGGTTGCACAACCTCAGCAAGAATCACTTTAAATCAGTATTCAGGGATACCCCACAGTTACATGTTCATTGGCAGGTATCTAAAATATGCCTCTGAATCCTGCTTTCAGTAGTGGAGCTGGAAGAAACATTCCATTCAATTTCTTTTGCTTCCTTTTGGTGCCTTTCTTCATCATTCAAGTGTCACCTGAATTGCACAAGGTGCAAATGATTACATTTGAAAGATGTGTTAATCTGACTGCTGATCCTTTAGATAGAACAGAAAATGGATCTAAACAGAGAAGGGAAACTATTGCGCTTTCTATCACCTACAAAAACTAGCAAAAGAAAAATTTTATTCTTACCTGCATGAAAACCCCATGCATGCAGACACTTCTGTCAAAAAGTAATAATTTGAATAAATATTTTGAGTCATAACCTGCTCAGACACTTCAAAAATGACTAGCCTTATACAATTCATAGAGCCCCTGCTAACCTACAGAGAATTCACCATATCATTTGTCATCCATTTTCTTCATAATTAAGTCTTGAGGGGAAAAATGATCATTTTCATGAACTGAAACAATTTTTTTCCAATCTTTTGGAAGAATTCTATGTGTGTAGGTCTGCCTTGAGCTCCTCTTTTTCAGAGTTGGGACATAGGTGATGCTTCCACAGCTGATCTAGGCTATTTTATGTCATTGGTCCTGTGCTTTGGTCACTGAGATCACAAACTACAGCATCACTCGTTCAGAAACAAGGAATACAGATAATGTACACAGACAGGCCTCCACTACAGAACATAAGCCCACATGTCTTCTAGGGCTTGTGAACATGTGTTCTCACACCTGCTTTCAAAACAAGTTGATAAACGGTTACCCACCATTCAGCAGGACTTCTGATCAAGAGCCCAGCCTGCCAGACTCAGGGACAACACACTCACTGCTCCAAGTGGGTCAGGTCTCCCAGAACAGTTTTTGACTGTGAACTAATCAATAGTCTTCATTCATCAGGAAGAAACTATATAGGTGAGAGGTGACAAAACACCACAACTTGGATTAATTTGCTGTTCAAAAGAGGTAAAATGCCATATATTTCACGTACCAGGGAGCAAGGGCGGAGAAGGAAACTCAGTCACACCTACACATACAGCTAGCACAGGTAATTGGCTTTGTTCCCTCCAAAAGTGACTCTGCTCCACTTCCCCGCCTTCCCCCCGCCCCCCCCACTGGCATATAAAATGCATCCAGGAGCCAAAACTACGGATAGTGTCAGTCACTTTAGCCCTTTTGAGATGAGGCAATATCCACCTAGGCTGAAGGGGGACCTGCCCAGCTACTAATTATTAGTATCTGTTGCATACCTCATAACAGCATTGACTCAACTGCTTTGTTTCCCATATGCAAGATGCACCACAGATAGAAGTCAAGAGACTTGCACACTGGTATTATCTCTTTACACCAAGTTTGGAACCATCTCATTCATTTTCTTTCATCCTCTTTAAAATGACATTTTCTAAAAACTTAAAGGAGGTTGCAACCAGAAGGTCTAGCATGAGAATTTGTGTTGGCACAGGTGCTTCAATTTTTATTCATGCCCACTGATTCAGGCAGGTTCCCCAGCCCAATCAAGAATACTTAGGTCCTAAGTGAAAAGTGTTAGTATTGGTTTACTCTTCATACAGGAGTCGAATTCCAGCACCAGACAAACCAGACCCAAATCAACAAAAGCTTCATGATCCTGATCAGTCCTGACACTATTAAGTGAGCGCTGAAAGGACTTTGCTATTTAGCCTTATCTTTTGGATCATGAGGAGAAAACATCTTCCAAAGATCACATCCACAGTCTTTGGAAGTGAAGCCAGGAAGCTCCACCTGCCAGCCCAGCCTGCATTCCTCACCTCACAGATGAGTCTTTCTCAAGCAGCATTAAGCATAGCTGCTATCTTATTCCCATTTCAGAGATGGAGGAAGGCAAAAAAAAAACCAAAAAAAAAAAAAAAAAAAAAAACAAAAACACACAGTTGCTAAATCAACACAAGAAATCTCTCACAAAACAGGCTTGGCCTACTTGCTTGTCCAGCAAGTGCAATACCTTTTGCACAATTTCAAAACAGAAGGTGCATCATGGTAAAATGACCAACCCCCCATACATCCCAACTTGCTGAGAGCCCCTACCATAAAGGAGTGGGCTACTTCGCAGACCACTTGAGCTGCAAAGGAAACCCAGACCTCAGCGTTTGGACATGTTAAGGAGAGGCCCCTACACAAAGTATTTGGTGAAAAGTATCAGAATATGTTTGCTTGCTCAAAGTGCAATCTAAGAGGCACGTTTTCTCAGTGGAATAAGATTTACGCAGTGCCCCACGCACACTGAGGAAATTAGAGTCCTATTAAATCCCAAGTGCGCAGCTTTCGCAGGGCTGGGGTGAGCTTTCACAATGTGCTGCTCTCCTCTAGCGCTGTTGCGCAAGAGCTGTATGTTTAACATTTCTAACCAGCTAAAATTGCTCCTTATATTTGATCAGGAATAATTTTTTTTTTACCTTTGAACCTGTTGCAAGGCAGGTTCAAAGGTTACCCGGGTGCAGTGTCGCCTGTTTATTAAAGCCACACACTGATGATTCGGGGCTTAGTCCTGCCCCAGGAGCTGGGGAAGCACCACGGGAGCTGGGGAAGGACCAACCCTTGAACACCCACTTGGAGTTGTAAAGCAGCGAAGGAAGCAAACTGTACCAGCCCCTTCACCCTCCTCCAGCACTCAAGGAAGGTAAGCAAATCCCTCCTGATCACAGCCCGTGTTTCTCAAGGACTCAGCTTCCTGCTCCTGCAGAGAAGTACCGCAAGTGGGATAATACCCTTAATTTGCTTCAATACCTGGATCCAATGCACCTTTCTTATCACCCTGTGCTCTGTTAAAGGCAACAGCTGTGTGATTGGCTGTAGGTTTTCAAAGCAGCAAGTCTGGGCTCAGGGGTGGCATACAGAGAAATCACAACCTGAGCGAAAACAGCTACCTGCACACTCCCCTTTGCTATAGACTGGCTGGAACTGGAAACCTGCCTACTGTCCAGGCTGAAGCCATTTTCTTATCAGTTTGTTAGTTATGCCTATTTAAAGATACAGCGTACAGAGTATCAGTGCCAGGGTCCCATTCAGACTAATGTTTAAAACAGAGTTCCAAAAATACAAGAATCATTTGTTTTCACAGCATCACGGGCAGTAAAAACTTGTTATATTGTAGATTGTTTATATGCACAAGTTTATTGGCAACATTTACTACAATAAGACCTTAACCCCTAACTGGAGTTAGGGGTTAGAAGCTGGCTATAATGCCTTTTCTAGTGTTTTAAATGCACAGATCTTAGAGTATTGCACACCAGACTGTTGCCATCACCTTAGTACAACTGCTTTTTGTAGCTACAGAGATGGAGCTTTCTCCAAGCTCTTGCTTGTGTACAGAGCTGCAGCTTGTGTACAGACCTGTAACAAAGGAGAGGGCAGCAGAGACAAAGATTAACCTGAAATCAAGCTGCAAGTAAGAGAACTTGCAAAAAGCATGCTGCTCTTCCAAGCCTATAATTCTTTCCATACTACCTTTCATAAGGAACCCACTTGTGCTCTGAGAAGATCATTTATGTGCCAGTGCAGTTACCGTGCTTTACAAAAGCGAGACACTGCCCTCAAAAACCAGAGCAGAGTCATAAAGAATGATTATTTTTACAGCATTAAGAAAACAAACTGGAATTCAAAAATCATTCAAATAAAGTGAGCTCACAATTCCCGCAGACTCACAAAATTTAAATCCAAGTTTTGAAGTGACAACAGAGAAAACCATACCGAGAGACAACGCTTCCCCTTCATTTATTTACATCCTCTGCTATTTGTTATATGTAGAAAGCCTGTTTTGGCATCTTTGGATAGCAAAAGCTCATGTTGTGCCATGACCTTAAGGTTTACTACAAAAGCTCATCTTATTCATCCTTTATGCAAAACTTTTGTGACAGTGACAACAGAAATGAAACAACCTGAATTCTGTATACACGTACCCTACGTAGTGCTCATCTTAGTTTGCTAACGGGTACGAGGGATGCAGGTGTATATTTTATATATAGGTACAAAGAGAAGCAAAGATTGAGATATTGATAACTGCTTTATTTTTTGCCAGAAAATTACTAACAACAAATATATCTGTGCCTTTCAAAAATCTGGAGTTTCTTCAGATCATTTACCAAAAATGAGGAGCCTCAGCATTTGCATGTCATTTGTTATGCATCTCAGGGAAAGAGCGTCAGCTGTATTCTAATTTATGAGCATTGAACAGAACCAATTATTAGGGAGAAGCTATCCTCTCCAAGGCTTTCCTGTGTGCATCCCTTGATCCAATTTATGTTGGAGCTGTGAGGCTCACTGAGTCCAGGCAATACAGTCCAGCTTGTGGACCTCAGCATCACATACTGGGCTCCTGGCAGGCCAGGTAGGAAGGAGCTGTGGGCATGTTCTCTCACACCTGCAGCCAAAGTCAATGCACCTGAGATACATAGCATTGCTACCCAACAGCTGATCATAGCAAATTCACTACTTTTTCTCTTTCTTGTGGAAAATTAACAGTCTGAGGCCAAATACCTGAAAGGGGAAGATCCTCAGAGGGGCACACAGAAAAGGTGATAATGGGGCTGGCTGGGCTGGGTGTGCTTGGCCTTGCTTTCTTTGTCTGTAAGGGGCATTACTTTTCTCTAAGCACAAGCACACCCTGCCTGGGACTGTTAAAGCTGAAGCTCACAACTTCACTTAAATGCCACAGGAACAGGTCTGGGTAGGCAAAGCCAAAGGCAGAGGAGTTTCATGCAGATAAAGCTATTTCTTTTTCATCCTCATATAAAATGGAAAATCAGTGAATTAAGTCTCAGTTTCCCAAAAGAGTATCTACAGTGCTAAATAATGTCACAACTACATGTAAGTTAGCTTTACCTGAACAGTACAGAGTTTACAGCAGCAATAAAACATAATTGCAATTAGTAGGGACTATGTGTTTTAGCAAGCCAAGGTCCAGGACAGGTTGTATTTTGGATGCAAGTACATGCTATATTAATTCCATTCCAGCTTTATAGTTGGTCTAGCAGATTATTCTGAAATCATGCAGTGCAGAAAAACTTTCAGATGGGCAAACTGCTAAGTGGGAAAACAATTCTAAAATATAGATTAAGGCACTGAAGGACATGGGTGAAGTTACTGCCTTCCCACCCCTCCAAACCTACTGCAAAATTCCAGTTCTATTAGACAAGCATTAAAGAGAAAAAGGGAAACTGCAACAGCTATAAACTTTTAAACAAAGAAATGCAACTGTAAAACCATAAAGACAATCCCTGTCATACCAGGAAACAAAACTGAAGCTTGAAACATGATTCACTGTTACCTTGTGCAAATAATTGCACCTATGTAAGTCTATAACACAGCAGAAAGAGAGAGGTAGCTTTTTGTGGGGGGAAAAGAAAAAGGAAAAAAAAACCACAGCAACAAAAAAAGCTGATACCAAAACCAAATAAACCAAAGCCAGCAGCAGAAATCCAACCTACTAGCAAGTCCATTACAGCAGTGTATGAGAAATACTGTACTCAAAGCATTTTGTTGATATTCCAGGCTACAAAGCTCTGCTCAGCTTAATGTACATTCAGCTATAGAGAAAAAATTTCTATTGCTGAGAATACAGCTTTATACATAGAGAAAATAATAGCAAACACATTATGAATAATAAATGGTAAATATAATTTCAAAATATTTTAGTTTACTTTTTACTTAGATCTTCACAAATACATAAACTTCAAGCTATTTTCATCAGCAAACCAAAGAATTCAATAAATTTATCATGTGCATGTTCAGTTTCTTTTGGGTGTTTTGTTTTTTTTTTTTTATTACTTTCTTTTTTAACCACTCCAGTTCCCCACACAAGTTCCTGCTATTTAAAGCTCTCCTCCCAGCATGCTTTTCTGCTTGCTGATTTATTTAAACTGGGGAGAGGGAACTGGCTGTAGTGTTTAACAGGAGTGTTACCTAATGAATGTTGGTTTGCTACTATGCTGCTAAGGGTCCCACCCTATTTTCACAATGGTAGGTACCTTTAATCGCTGCTTCTCAACTCCGTTTTTGATCTGCAATATTTTCTGTGTAAGTAACAAAGTTATACTTTATTTGTTTTATTGCTCATGGGCCTGCTTGTTATTACTCACATGGGCTTTACTAAAACCAACGTGCAAGCGTAGTAATTAGCTGCAGGGTTCAAGATAATGAGTTCTTAAGAGTCTACCAGGAAATCTCCGGTAATGTGCTATCAGTTAGATGTGAACCTTGGGCTGAGTGAAGTTCAGATACACGTTTGCTCTTTGTTCTCCATAATGTAAGTGCTGTAATAATATGAAGTGATAGAAGACGTTAGCATCTAGAAACTTTCAGTGCTACCTTTTCTCTGTGTGGCATCTAAGGTGCCTAATGATAATATTCTAGTTTTCTTAGGAGTTCTATGTGAATTTTCAAACTGAGCTTTAAACTTAGCTCTTTAAACCATGCTCTATCACTGCAGATAACTTCCTATTATCACAATCTTGATGATGCAAGTTTTGCAAGAAGTGAACCTGTATTATCTAACAGGATGAATAGTAACAGAACTTGCTATACTGCCTATTTTTTAAATTTTAGAAAGTTCAAATGGCTAGTTGAACATGTTTTTGAGTACGTAGGTATCTCTCTGAGTAGGTAGCTTTCAAAAAAAAAAAAAAACGATAAAAAACTATATGAAAACTTGGCTTTTCAATTCATCTGAGAAAATAACTTTTAGTAGTAAGTGATGTCATGATGTTGTTGCACTCCTGATGGAGGGACAGTAATATCCAACATACTAAAATTCCTTATTAGAAAATGACCTTTCTGTTTAAGTTTACTGGAAGCCAAAGTTCAATAGGTTTCATAAGTAAGGCTTAGAAACCACAGAGCACTTCCTGTAAGTAAGTTACTGAGGCCTCATCCTTTCCCACCTCTTAGTAGAGCTTCTCAGCGAAGATCAAAGGGTGCTTGAACTGTTTGGCTGTGACTCTCATAAGAGGTACTCTGAAAGCAAAGCCTAACTGAAGCATATCTGGGGCTTAATGCAGATTACTGAGCATTTTGCTTGTGGTTTTTGCTTGGCTCTTTTCAGCAGTCACTGCTGAGCTTTTGTGCTTTAGCTTCTGTCTGGATGCTAAAAGTTAGATTTTCCTAAACCCTCCAGAACACAAGACTTCTTGCTGCAGCTGGAGGAAGATGGGATGTATTGCTTCCAAGGAGTAAGAACTGGCACAGTGGCTCACATCTGCTGGATGACACCAGGCAAGAGCTGCACTGTGTAAGCAAATGGAAAGAGTGAGATACTGCTGGTCAACTAACGAATTAGTGACCCCAGCGTAGGTGGTTGTAGTCTGCTCTTCCTGCTTGGAAAGAGTCAGTGTTACCTTACTAATGCTGACAAACATGTTGTCATGATCACCTCAGAAGTTTAGACAAACTTGATACAAAGAATTCTAGATTACAAATGTAATTCTAGAAGACATTGTCCCAGGCAGTGCATGACTATTGCTTCTGAAATTGTGCAAGTATCAGAGGTTGCTTTTTTGTCTGTAAAGAACAATTGCAATGGAGATAACACTGATTTCTTTCTTCATATTTATGGGCTTGAAGGTACAAAGCTCAGTCACTTTCCAGTGGAGAGAATGTCCTCACTTGGAGAGCACAGAGAATATAATTCCTTCTAGCTTTAGATGGGGAGCTACATCAGAAATGAGAATGTGTACTTCTGAACTCAAGGCTGTAAATGATATCACTGTAATCTTTTCTGATAAAAACTAAGCCTTTGTACTCTGGAGCCTAATGCATCTTATCCCTGACCATTGATCAGGGTGGACAACCCAAGTAGATTTTCAGCTGTCCAGCATCCTATTGCACAAGAGGCTTAACAGGTGGTTCGAGACATCCTGCACATTTTGTATCTGGGAGCTGAGCCTTTCAGAACTCTGAGGATTCAAGCACTCCACTTCTGACACCTTCATGTTTAAAGGAACTGGTTCGCAGACTTGCCCTTGCAGTGGAAGCTGCTGTCTGTCAAAAAGGCTCTGGCTTTGTTTTGTGCTGCACTAAGTTGAGTTTTCACGAAGATCATACAGATCAGGTATTATCTATGCACAGGGCACTTGGATTTGTGGGTTAAACTCCGATTGTAGCTGTTTCACAGGACAGATCTAGGCTGTTCTCCTACCATGGACAGGAAACTGCCATGTTCAGACTCCTGTCCTCTCTCTGGGTCTTCTGCTTTGAGGGCAGTAGGATTAAGTGGCTTTTGGAGGATACCAGGGGTGATAAACTAGCAGTAACTTGGATTTGACAAGTAGTTGCAGTAGAAGCTCTAGGCATAAGAAACAACTGCCCTAATTCTGGGAATTCAGACAAATTTGCTGACATGTCTTGCCACACCTTGAATAAAACACCCTATGTGCCTTGATAGAAGTGACTAAAGCCCATTTGTGGAAGCATGGTTGGAAAGTAAAAGCAAAACACTATCACTATTCTATTAATAAAGTAAGGGAATTGAAAATAGTTTTTCAGATGAAAAGCATTTTTTGTGTATTGCACAAAACACAGATCTGGGTATCTGTGCTTTTTTGACATAACACTAACATCTGTGTCTTTAAAGGATGTTAGGTTTTGTCTCCTGCATATGTAGTCTCATTCAGTGCTATAAGTGGGCTAATGAAGACAGTTAAAAAAAAAACCAAAAAAACAAAAAAAAAAAAAACCACAAAAAACCCCAAACCAACCAAAAACTAAATCCTGGAAGCAAATGAGCACATACTACTTCCCAAGCTTTAGAGAGAAACTTGTCAACAGGTCTTTCTTTAAATTAAAAAATCATTTGGCTTATAACTGAAAATCATTTTTGACTAGCTGTAGGCTTGTCTGGTCTTTCTTTCTCCCTATGCAAGAGACTTGTGTAAACAATTCAGAACCTGAAGGCAAAAACTTTGCTGCATTTAATAATAGTCTCTTGTTGAGGTGTTCTCTCTGAACTTTGAGCTCTTTGCTCCAAGCATCATTATCCTTCAGACCTTGATGCTCAGTCTTCCTATGTGTCTTGGTACAAACTGCCTCGCATGTAAGTCAATGAGAACATGAGAATACCCCAATGGAAAAATTTACAATGACTTATCTACTGCTGCATGGAGCATTTGGGGTTACTGGGTTCTGTGATCCATACCACAAAAAGGTCAGACAAGTGTCTTCAGTGAAGTTTCTACCAAATAAGTCCATATAATAGACAGCAGGTATTTGTAACAACTGCACTGATCTGTCTGACTAGGCACTGTTAAGGCTAAGCAGCATAAATGAGTTATAGTGGAGGACTTGGTGCTACAGATATAATCCCCAGTTTTGTTTCTTACCTCTAGCATGATACTCTAAAGTCAACCAATCCTTCGTGGCTTCTAGGAAATTGTCTCAAAATTACTATTAAAATGAGCAGATGAACACACTTCAGTCATTAAAACTGGTACAGCTGTACCTGTGATCTCTGGTTACCTGTATATACCTCTATTCTCTCACTGCTAATTGAAAAATTTCATGTCCAGGGAAGAGTCATGTGAAAGGTACAGAATGCAAATTCCTTTTGACAATCTGGAGATGGGAAAAGACTGGGAAAAGGCCCAAACTGGTTGCTGCTACTCAAAACTTAGAGGAGTTTGAACATGAGTATTCTGGTATCCCTCTAAAAAGATGTGATAGTAGATCTGTCAAGGTCTATAAAAGGTCTAGAAAGCTTCCAACATACAAATGGTGCAAGTGTGATTTGCTTTGTCACTTGGATCTAGTAGTGGGCTCTGAGTTAAAGGAATAAAGCTTGGATATCCAACTCCTCATGCTGAAGAATGGAGATGCCTCTACCAAACTGCCTCAGTGCTTGTGCTATAAAAAAGTGACCTGCTCATGTTACCAAAAGAGGAAGTGGCTGACTCACACCATAAGCCAGATACAGTTTAATCACCTACAGAAAGCTGCTTGCGAACTGCTCCAGTAATGGGTTACAAGGCCAGATGAACAATTCATGATATCATGAAGAGCAGCTGATTGCCAAATTCTGTCTTCCAAACTGAGCAGTGCTAAACCTAAACTGCTAAGTAGCTTTGCCCTGAATGTAAATTTAATCAGCAGACATGCTTTTAGGGTTTTCTTTTTTCCTCCAGGCTCAATTGATAAGGCCCAAAGGAAGGGGGTGGAGATGGGTGATATGCTGTGCTACGGAAAGAATAGGTTCGTGCTCCCATAGGTTTAATATGCTCAGTGACAGGAACTGTCCATCAGTAGAGAGTCCCAAGGGCAATTTCTACCTTTCTTGCTGTAGCACAATCTTTTTGGGCTCTCAGTACATGAAGCCAAGGCCAGGAGTTTTGAAGGGCACATGGTAACCAAGGTTTAGAGTAGAAAAGAGGACTAGGGAGTTGGTACTTCTCAGATATGTAAGTGATATGCATTTGGCAGCTTGGACTTGATGACAAGCCTCTGAGGTACCATTTCTTATCCAGATGCTGAGTGCATGTCTTTTCTCACCAGAGAACACATTAGGACTGCTGATTAACACAGACATGGGTAATCTAACTCTGGTCAGTCCAGGCTCAAAGCCCCAGATTCTGACTTTGGGCCCTGGCTGAACTTACTGATGGTTTGTAAAATACCTTCAACTTCTTTGGAATTATAGTTAAAGGGTAACTGGAACTCATTGCTTCAGGATGCCTGGTATTCTTCTAGTATGGGGATTTAGTTAGTTGCTAGCTGACATATTATCTACTAACTAGGTTCCTCTGATTCTGTGTGAAGGACTTTGAAAGGGTATTTACTGTTACTCATCTTGCAAAGTGTGATGTCTCCTGCATAGCTGTTCAGACACTAGCAAAGATAAGTTGGTGAGATCTGAGTTGATTCAGACAAAAAACAGTAATGTCTCTTGGTGATTCAATCTTAAACATATCAGAACATTTTGGAGATTAAAGTATTTTTTTTCTAAGGGAGAAAGCTCAGGTAGATGTTTCTTTGTCTCTTATAAGGAAGTTTATGTTCTCAGGTTTTGCTTCCCTGCCCTTTCAAGAAGACACTCTGGAGGATGCAAGCAGCAGTACTGCTTCTGTATTTCCCAGCTAGACTTCCAGTGCACACAATGACTTCCAAGTCATCATTTTCTAGTGGAAAGAAGCTTTCACAGTTTTGACATGTATTGTATCTCATGCTGAACATGCTGTCACTATGTGAAATACTTGTCTAGAATGAACCCTGCTTTCCAGTAAGAGCAGCTGACAATGAAGATACTTCTTGTCCTGCAGATTTATATATGTAGGTGTGACAGACATGTAATTTAGCAATACGGTTACTATTTCAGCAAAACTCCTTTCTGTTGGAGAATTATAATATTGGGGAGTTTTCTTACTTCCACGGTGCACATCATTGAACTTTTGGCCTTTTTTGGTTATACTTATTTGGGAAATGATATACTGGTTTTCCCCAGGCAGATTTTTTTACTCTTGAATAGAAGTAATCTGTTCCTTGTGTGACTTCATTGGACTTCAGTTTTTTTGTGGAGGTGGATGCAGCATAGATTAAGATTTATGGGGACAGGTGACTTGGGATCTCTTAAGAGGCTTAAAACGTTGCATAAGCATGCTTCATAATTGTACCAGGACTCTTCGGGGGCAAACTGCTGAAATGATTTGCAGTATTGCTTAACAAGCTACTTAAGTAACCATGGCTCATGAGTAGTTAGAGCTTCTAACTCAAGTCTACTAAATCTCCTGTTTATTTCAGGTTCAACTCTGGCTCCATTGATCCAGCACAATGATCTGGATACTTCAAGTGTTATTCTCACCGCTCCCAACACCAGCATTGATTACTCTTATTGTATTTGGATCTGTCATCTTCCTGTGGGTAGTAAGCAGGCCAAAACCTGTTTTGCCTCCTGTTGACTTGAACAAGCAGTCAGTAGGAATTGAGGTAATACTTTCTTTGCTTGTAGACATGGTCTAATTTGGAGCTTAATCTGAATACTGATCCGTTCTGCCTGTGGGTGCCAGTGGAAACTCTCCTGTCTGACATACACAGCCTTCTCTCTCAGGTGTACAACTGAGCAGTATGGTGGGAAGAATGGAAGCCTTAAGATGCTAAGAGTGAGAAACAGCAGCTCCTGCCAATAGGTTTAGATAGGCTTTTTACCAGATAGCCTTGGCTGTCGCTGACTTATTCCTGTATTTTAAATGCACTGCATCAGCTTAGAAGCTGGTGCTATACTTCTTGTAACTAGACAAGTGGTAGCACTCAGTCCTAGTCAATAACAACCTGTAATCAAATGTTAATGTAGGCAATCTAGAAAATTCCTCTGCATACGACTGAGTAGATCAAAATCAGGAAGGAAAAAGACTTCCCTAACAATGCAATGCTATTGAAATGGTTTAAAGGGCATTGTTCAGACAATGGCTGAGGAATGAATGACATTTCATTTGTTCTGCACTTTTTCATTACCATGGTCTGTTCCTAGGGAGGAGCCAGAAGAAGTGCACTCTTGACAGATAATAACCTGCTTTCTTATTACTTTGAAGATGGTAAAACCTTGTATGAAGCTTTACAGAGAGGACTATATATTTCCGGTAAGCTTTGTATCTCCTAGTTAGTACTTGTCTATCACAAGTAAATAAGTTTTTTCCTTGTGTCTTGGCTGTGGTAAAATTCAGACTAGCAAAAGCTTTTCTAGCCTTCTGTGGGGTGGAGAGACAAGCGACCATGTCTCTCCTTGCCCCAATTTAGCTGTAGTCTTAGTTGGCAGATTGGGTGGGAATAAACATCAGAAGCTTAAGGTGGTACAGTGCAGTCAAGAGTTAGCAGATAATAAACATCAGAGGAATTGTGGGGGGGAACACCTCTGCTTTATCTTACCATGTGGGTTTTACTTTAAAATTACTACCTGTTTACAACAGATATGAATTTGTGCACATGTCACTATGCATGGAAATATGTGATAGCTTGCAAGCTATTTCAATCTCATGTGGGTTCTGAAATGAGAAAATATCACCAGATATTGGAAGTATTGCTTGTAAGGATAAAGCCAGCAGTCTTACAATCTTGGTTTGGGCAGAGTGTTTAACTATGGACATTGTCCTTCTACGTTCTGTGCAGTTAGCTGGATGACTGATGGAAAATATTTCCCACTTAAAGTATTGTATTGAAGTGTTATGCACGTTCAGTACTGAGCTTTGAAATTGCTTTTCTGAACTCTTCCATTAGGAAATGGTAACTGTCTAGGCTACAGAAAACCCAAGCAACCTTATCAGTGGCTGACATACAAACAGGTGAGTATAGTAAATGACAGATGACTTAATTTGAGACACTGTCTTGTAACACTAAAGTGGGGAAAAACTATCTTACAGGTTTTAGACAGAACTCAATACTTGGGATCAGGGCTTCTGCAAAAAGGATGCCAACCATCAACAAACCAATTTATTGGTATTTTTGCTCAGAATAGGCCAGAGGTAAGCAACAAATAGTATATTCTTTCCCACAACATTCTGACACCTTGGGGTGAGAGGGCGGTATTTAAATAGCTTGAGGCGACATGAGGAACAATCACAACTCTTTTTCCTTCCTGGTTCCCTTTTTACTGACTGAGCACATACCACTCCAAGCATGTAATACAATGATCTTGAACTCTCACTACTCTGATTCTCATGGATGTGCTCCTCACATAACTCCCCCCACTACTGAGTGCATGAGGGATGCAGTCAAGATGTATGAAATCTGTAGGCAATCCTGTCTTGAGGGTTGCTAGTTTTCCTTAGCTGTGCTGTTTTCTCTCTTCAGTGGACCATTTCAGAGTATGCCTGCTACACCTACTCAATGGTTGCTGTTCCACTCTATGACACCCTGGGGGCAGAGGCCATTGTATATATTGTTAACAGAGGTAAATATTGACTTCCACTCTTTCATAATGACTTTTCTAAGAAACTTTGTTTTGAGAGGGCTAAGTTCAAGGGAATTTGATGTGAAAATCAGAGTAGTTTTAGCCTTACTGTTCTTATACTTTTACAGACACTTATTTTCTTAAATGAAACTGCTTTACAGGGCACATGGTTTAATGCCTAGAAGAGTCCAGTGGGATTCTTATGTTTCCTAGTGTCTTGATTGCAAGTCCACGGAAGGACCTGCTAGATTCTGTGGACCATTCTGCAATCAGAGTGCTCAACTGTTTGCTATCTGAGGTTTTGAAATCTTGAAATCCCACACGACCAAACAATCAGACAATGCAGACAGACTTGCATGCAAATTAAGACTAGATGTGTGTCTCTGATTTAAAGTTATAGGATGAAAAGAGTGGAGGAGGGAAGGGTAAAGATATGCCTAAATCTGTTTAATCTATCTGGTTAGTGCCTGTTGTTCTACAGAAGCAACAACTAACATGCCATCATGGAAGAAACTGGTAAGGAAGCTTAAATAAATCTTCAGACTTTCTTCCCCCAGTCTTTTGGGAGACATAGGGGAAATAATGTGCACTACTGTCACAGTAATCTGGGATCCACCCCATAAACAGGACTTGCCAAATAAAATCCCTTCAACAGTTACGCTGGTGAACCTTGCAAACAGGTCTTGCCTTGGGACTACACAGCTGTGACTTAGTAGTCTAATGGGGAACCGGCATGTTCAGGCAAATCCAATTCCTCTGCCAATTTAAAGGAAATTCTTTTGTAATTGTGTAAAACTCACTTGCACACGTGGGGAAGCTGAGGTATTAACTCCAGAATTTAGCAGCCTCTTTCAACAAGGCCTAAATTTCTTTGGATTTAAGGAAGATGGCTAAACCTAAACAATCAGTGAGGACAATTCTGAACTCTTATGGTAATACAAAAAATTTAAATGCCTGTGTTGACTGAGAGTGAAGATATTTCTCTTCAGTCCCTCAGCATTTGCCCTCACTTTGAGCAAACTTAAGATTCTACCAATACAATCAGTTGATGATGGTAGGAGGAACCTTCTTAGCACTGTAAGCCAACCACTCAATCCATAGGAACAAATGCAAATGGCTTTAGAACAAACCAATGCTGTGTTCTAAACATATGTGCTTCTGAGCTGTCACTGGTCTAATGTCTTCTAAATGGACTTCTGAAATGTAATTTCTTTTCTGTAGCTGACATAAGTGTAGTGATCTGTGACACGCCACAGAAGGCACAGGTCTTGCTTGAGAACTGCGAGCAAAAAAAGACCCCATGTCTGAAGATAATTGTTCTCATGGATCTCTTTGATAAAGAGCTCAAGGACAGAGGAGATAAAGTGGGACTTGAAATTCTGTCACTGCAGGAGGTTGAGGTAGGTAACTAAAGGTTTCTGCTTCATCTTGCCAAGGAATACCTTGCCAGATTGACATCTTGACCTTCTGTGGCAACAATGACACTTTAATGTAAGCATTATCTGGTTGTCACTCCTGTAGCTTGGATCTTGATGAGCAGTCATTTTGAAACTTGATATATTTAGCCAAATGGCCTTGCAGAGTTCAAACCACTGACTAAAGTTGTGTTCGTGTGTTGTGGACACTCAGCATGCATGAAACTGAAGACTTGCTTAGCTTAATTCATGGTATAGTTGTAACGGGATTTATCAGGGTTCTAAGCTGGCAGTTGAGCCTAATTGAAACTGTAAATTCAAATTAGTGGCTGCTTAGACATCCCAATACTAGGCTTAATCTTGCATACATGTAAAATATAAGACCTATGGCCTGTGTCAAATAAAATTAAATATGTACACTTAGGACTTCCAAATTCTTTAAGTAGTTCCGATCACTTTCCGCACACTCAAATTTGTGCTTTCCACAACTGCAGTAGTCAGTTTTTCAGAGTTGTGTGTATTGAATTCAGGAAGACATCTCTCCTTGAATGAGACAGAGCATCAAGAGGCAAAGTAAAAACAAGTGTTGTATTTGAAATAGAATTATCTATTCATCTATTGTTGTTGCACATCTGCTAAGCTGTGTTTTTTCTCTAACACAGGAGCTGGGAAAAAACAACATCAGACAACCAGTTGTAAGTATCTCTATGGCACAGTTATAAAATTTGAAAAGTAGTCTCTGAAAAGACCTCCTGCCATGTTAGTAGAGGAGACTGGCAGGATTTTTTTCTTTTATGAACCAGAATTCCTGGTTAATCACAGTTTAGGAATTTTATGTAAATACTGATAAGCACTATAATCCTAACACTGACCTTATGTGGCTTTTTCTCTTCAGCCTCCTAAGCCTGATGATCTTGCTGTTGTGTGTTTTACAAGTGGAACCACAGGTAAGAGAATATATGGTGATGCTTCCCCACTGGACCAGCCTACCCCTGCAGCTTCCCAGCACAAAAATAGGAAATCCTAAGAATATAAAACAATACATTAGAGCAGTGTCAAACCACTATTGCAGTTTTACTTGGGACCCTGTCACTACAAGTAAACTAAGACAAAGCTTCTTAGAACTGGGGGCAAGAATAGCCAAATTCATGTTGTCTTCCCCTATGAAAAATACAGTCCTAATGTTCAAGAGATCGGTTGTTTACCTGTGTGTGTATTTTGATCCACGGAAACTAAAAAAAAAATAAATCTTGTTTCAGCATTCTCTATGCTACTCCCAATTACTCTGCCGTTTCAGTAGCCATTTCCTTTATGTAACATCTGTAGCTGTTCAAGTGTTTAAGATGAGGCATATTTGTGAACTCTTAAGACAATGCATGCTGTGACTGAGCCTAGTACCAAAATACTTCAGACTGAGCCAAACAAAAAATGGAAAACTGACAGCAGAAGCAGTTAGAGCTACAGCTGACTTTGCTTGATGTCTCCAAAGGTGACCCCAAAGGAGCCATGCTGACACACCGAAATGTTGTTTCAAATGCTGCTTCCTTCCTTAGGTGCACAGAGGTAAGCTGCTTCTAATGGTGATCATCAGGGTATGTCCCTCAGTCACACAAACAGCTTTAATGTGGGCACTTTCCGTAAATTATTTGCTCCCAGAAACTGATGCCTTCCTAAGTGCCCATATTTCAATGGGACAATAGTATTGAAAGAACCTTAGTTTAACCTTGAACAAGAACTTCTGTGTAGAAGTTATTCTAGAGTGAGTCAGTCCTAAATGCCAAGAGTACTAAACAACACTATTACAAGTCTTGCCAAAAGATAAAACTAATTTTGATCTAGTGTGAGAGCTGCAAATCTTGAACACGTGATGGATGAGCATGAGTTGCTTCAGTCATTTGAAGTGTATTTCAAAGTAGTCAAATTGATCCAAACTTTATCCACTTTCTACTTAAGAGTAACTCAGGCAGGCATAGGGAATGCTAACCTACTTCTGTTTCTTTCCCCTCTAGGGCACAATTGAGTGTACAAGTTCAGATATCGCCATTTCCTATCTTCCCTTGGCTCACATGTTTGAGAGAGTTGTACAGGTATGTACAGATATATACATCTGAGCTTCTATGAATCAAATTATAGTTAAAGATACGATAGCAATCTATATGTCCTCAAAACCTATTCACAGAATAACTTTCCTACAAGTGGGCACTGAAAATCTTGCTGCTTATCATAGACAAATAACTATGGCTAATGAAACTAGGAATTACCCTTGACTGAGCTTAGTCTGGTCAATCTTTAGGCCGTGATGTACAGCTGTGGAGCAAAAGTAGGCTTCTTCCAAGGAGACATCAAGCTGCTAACAGATGACATGAAAACCTTGAAGCCAACGGTGTTTCCAGTTGTACCAAGACTGCTGAATAGAGTATATGACAAGGTATGTGAGCAATTTTAGCTAAATCATCTTCATGTTCATATATCCTAGTGAGCATATTGATTGTGTCATAACGTCACCACTAGTTAATTACTTCTTGGCAGGAAGAATTCTCTAAAATCTTCTCTGAGGACATGGAAAGAGTCCTGGGACCTGGAGTATAAGAACAGTGTATCCAGTCATAACTGGGCTAAGTTTGTTGCTGTTCAGAGACAAAAAGTCTGTTTACTTTTGGAATGCAAATGAAGCAGCTAGAAGGATCCCTGTTACTCAAAGCTGTGGCTGCAGTGTGTCAGCAGTAACATGAATAAGTATTGTCTCTGAGTTCATCTCTTAGACGTGGCAGCAGTGAAGATAGACCTTAGAACAGTGAAGTGAGATGTGGTGCCTCTAAACAAAGCAAGAATGGGAGGTACAGATGTGAGTTAAACCCAAGAATCACTGATACTTTTCCCTGCAGATCCAGAGTGGTGCAAACAGCCCAGTGAAACGTTGCCTGCTAAACGTGGCTGCGACTATGAAGATGGCTGAATTAAAACAGGGCATCATTCGAAATGACAGCATTTGGGATAAGCTAATCTTCAAAAAAGTTCAGGTAAATTATTCCAAGCGTAAATAAACTGAGCAGTGTAATACTGGAGGATCTGACGGCTTGTATTTCCCTTGTAGGAGACCATGGGAGGAAGAGTGCGTATAATGGTCACAGGCGCAGCCCCCATATCTCCCTCTGTCCTGGCATTTCTGAGAGCAGCATTAGGCTGTCAGGTAAGTTGAGTTTTCTCTTAAAGTAAGACTTGTTTGATTATGCCCAAATAAGTGCCCAGAGATACAGCTGTGCTCCAGCCCAACTTGTTCCTGGGGAGGTTGCTGTCAGTCTTGGGTACTGATTGACAGGCTGCTTCACTGAAGTTTAGTGTAACAGGAAAAAAATGCTGCAGAGCTGACTTCAAACTACACTACCAAAACACTGTGCTGTGGGCTGTGGGAAGAGAAATAGAGCAGCAGAAGTAGGAACATGCAGCCCTCAAAGTCAGGCAGGTACCTCTGAGCTTTGAGGCTTATTCTGACAGTCGATGAGCTCCCAGTGTAACACATTTGAGAACAGAAAATGAGGTGACCAAAGCAACGTTTGGATAGGTGAACTTAAACACCTGGTTACACCAGTTAGATTAAGATACTTTAAAGGCTAAGGTTGTATTGGCTTCCTTCCTAAGAAGAAGATTTGAGCATGGGCATAGTTGAAATAGAGCTCTTTCACACCAAGGACTTGATGTTCAAGGAATATTCATCCTTTCTCACACAGATCTTTGAAGCTTATGGCCAGACTGAATGCTCAGCTGGATGCACTTTCTCAATGCCTGGAGACTGGACAACAGGTAAGGCAGCTAGGACTTGGACAGTCTCCCAGAGCTGTCAACAGAAAGGGGTGCTGAAGCCTAGATGCATTACTGGTTTTAGTTTAATTAAAATTAAATCATGAGTACATAACTTCAAAGTGACTCTTGGTAGCAACAATCACCTGTGTGCTTAATAGGTACCAAAATTCTCGACTCAAGTAGATGAGGATCCCTTGTGTAAAGTAACATAGATCAGATTAGACCCTGTCCCAGCATACAGGAAAGGATTATACAGAGCTGAGCAAACTGAACAGGGACTTCACAAATGGCTTTAAGGAACTAGCTTTATCTCCAAAATTGCATGTTTTACTCAAATAATTATATCTAAAATATTAGACATGATACTTGACTATTTTCCTGAAGGACTACCTGACTGTGAAGATTTAGCTTTTATCTTGGCAAGACTATTTTTAATATATTCTAAATTCAAGCTCAAGTCATCATCTTTGGGCCCACATAACTGCAGAGCATAATGAGAATTAAATGGAAATGAATACCAGGGTCTATGAGGGATTCCTGTGGTGGCAAATGTGGTTTGGGGTTGGTCTGGTTGATTACACCAATAATGCTCTAAGCATTGAGACTTAGCTGTTACTTGTCCTGCATTAACTGTCTGAAAACGGCATTTAAATAACTTTTGTGAACATTTGATGTCAGACTCCTTTAAACAATACTGGTTCTTGCTAAAGCAGTGAACAAAGCCATTAAATATCTAGTATTGCTGCAGTCTTTTTTTTTTTTTCCCTCCTCTTAGGCCATGTTGGAACCCCTCTGGCTTGTAATATTGTAAAACTAGATGATGTGGAAGAAATGAGCTACTTCTCTTCTAACAATGAAGGCGAGGTAGGCACCATCTCCTGTGCATGTCAGGAAATACCGAAACATAAGACTTGGTGACTAACAATGTTCTGTGCTTACTTACTACAGGTCTGCATTAAAGGACCAAATGTGTTCAAGGGTTATCTGAAAGACCCTGAGAAGACAGCAGAAGCACTTGACAAAGATGGCTGGCTCCACACTGGAGACATAGGGAAGTGGTTGCCAGTGAGTAATTGTTTAATACAAACCGTCCCTTGGATGTGAATCCCTGTTAGTTTACAGTAATCTCAAAACATGGCATTCTAGGATAAAAGCCTTTATACAGTAGTTTATCATTCATCAAGTAACTCCAGGCAAAGTTCCAAAGACCAATTAGGTTACAAGATCTCAAATAACACCTGTTAGGCCCATAGTTAAGACTATTCTTCACTGCAGAAGTGACGTAACGAGGTGTCTTGGTTTCTGTCAAAGGAGAAAAAAGGAGCTGTCTAATCATGTCCTGAGCTAACTGGAGAAATTAGACAAAGTGCCCATTCTCTCAATAGAACGCAAAGACCAGTAGTAGACTAGCATGTGCCTTTCATAAAACAAAGCAAAGCCTGTTTATCTTGTTATATAAGCAAGACAGAGACTTGCAACTAATGACCTCCACTTTTAACTTCTAGAATGGAACGCTGAAGATCATTGACAGGAAGAAGAATATATTTAAACTTGCACAAGGAGAATACATTGCTCCAGAGAAGATAGAAAATGTCTATATTGGAAGTGGTCCTGTAGCCCAGGTCTTTGTACATGGGGAAAGCCTGAGGGTAAGTGATGTTATGCGTGAGCATCCTGCAAAATTCCTCCCACAATGTGTTCTGGATGATCAGGGCGCAAATATAAGCATGTACAAGAGTTCTTAAACAAGATCTGTTCCCAAGAGTACCGTGTTTATAGGAATATGCTTTCAGACCTATAGACTTCCCAACTGACAACTGGCATCAAGTTGCATGCTATGTAAAGGCTAATTACATACTTGTATGAGATTAGCATGTTAGGTCAGTTCTGTACAGTTTAGAATCATAGAATAATCCCCTCTGCAATGAGCAGGGACATATTCAACTAGATCACATTGCTCAGAACCCCAGCCAGCCTGACCTTGAATGTTTCCAGGGATGGGGCATTAGTCATCTCCCTGGGCAACCTGTGCCATTGTTTCATGACCTTAATTGTAAAAAATTCCTTACATCTAGTCTAATTTTACTGTCTTACATTTTAAAATCATTATCTCTTGTCCTATTGCAACAGGCCCTACTAAAAATTTGTTGCCATCTTTCTTACAAGCCCCCTTTTAGTACTGAGAGGCTGCAATAAGGTCTTCATGGAGCCTTCTCTTCTCCAGGCTGAACAACCCCATCTCTCACAGCCCTTCTCCATAGCAGAAGTGTTTCTCCATTCCTTTCCCACAGAGGTGCCACCAATGGTAGCAGAGGCCAGTCTTAAATTTATAAACTAGCCAAAAGTAATTGCTGGAGCATTCAGCATGTGACAAACAGCACTAGTACTTCAATTATTGCTGTCTCATCTCTCAGTGACTTGAAAGCCCTTGGAGCTACCTCTGAAACTCTGAAAATGGATGGGGATGTAAATGTGACTTGTTATAGAAACACTGTTCACAATCAAGTTCACAAAGACATTTAATATGCCTTATCTTGCTCTCAGCATGACTTCCACTTGTTTTCAGTCTTTTCTAGTAGGTATAGTGGTTCCTGATCCAGAGACGCTTCCAGAATTTGCAGCAAAACTGGGAGTAAAAGGTTCCTACGAAGACCTCTGCAAAAATCCTGTGAGTGGCTTTGTTTTTAGTAGGTTAGAGACAGAATTTAATTCTGAAATCCAATCTTGTGTTGCTCTGACTTTGTTCTATCCACCTTTTTTTGTAAATTAAACTGCTTTAATGCTGGGTGAGTCATATGAGCAGCCTTACAGTGAAAACTGGAACTGAGTATAGGTATCTCTTGATGTTTCAAGGGCTATTGCTGCTTCTTTTACAATGAGAAGATAGACATGATCCTGCAGTGGCCTTAATATGGGATGAATGTTGGAATATGTATTCTTGCCAGTTCTCCCTGACTGGGCAATGGTTATGGTCTTGAGTTGCAATTACAAAATGGCAGCTTTATCCAGTCTGCTTCTGCTCTTTTTCTTCCAGGCAGTGAAGAAAGCTATTTTAGAAGATATGATCAAACTGGGGAGACAGGCTGGCCTTAAATCCTTTGAACAAGTGAGTCCTTTCAAATCCTGCTTGTCACAAGCACCTGTATGGCTAATACAATGGCTGGGAAGTCCTAATTCCTGATACTGACTGTGCCAGGATGGGACCTAAGGCCACTGCTCCCAACAGCTGACTGAAGCAGTCAGTGAAATGTTGACTGGCTGCAGGTCTCTTGACCAATGCTCCTCTCTTGACCAAGAGACCAGTGGCTGTACAGGGCAACAGTAGCAATTTGCCATGAGATGGAGGTTCACAACAGGCTGCAGGGGCTGTTCTGTAGTTTCACCCTCTTGCTGTGTCAGCCAAAAGCAGTTTGACTTCCATCAAAAACCAGTTTATTTACTGGATCTCTGGGACTCGAATTCTTGCACTGAGCTCAAGGAAGCTGGAAAGAACTGTTGTCTTCTAATTATGTGAGTGTCATGTGCTAAATAATTTTCCTTTAATAGGTTAAAGATCTGTACATTCACACAGAGATGTTCACTGTAGAAAATGGACTCTTGACACCAACAATGAAGGCAAAGCGACCAGAGCTTGTTAAAGTCTTCCAGGAGCAGATTGAGGCCCTCTATGCATCTGCACAGGAATAAGTGGCCAGTTTAATTTAAACTGCATGGAGTATCCAAATAAATCTGTGACACTACATGACCTGTGGAGGGGAGCATGGAGAACTCAAATTTATTTGTTTCTGGTTTTCTGGAAAAATGACTTTTGGATGAAGATGCATATAGCATAACTGACAACTGGCAGTGTCACATCCTGCAGGACTAAGAACTGGCTGTCTAGGCAAAGCCAGAACTTTAATCTTCCTTGGACTGCGACTGAAGTACAAAAACATGCAAGAGCCTCAGACTTTAAAAGACAGCTGTATGCACTTCTGATTGTCAAAAGCAAATCTTGTTTTCCTGCTCAAACTATGAACTCCACTGTGACCTGTTGTGGATTGATCTGCAATCAGACTGAACACAATATGAATTGAAGATAACATCTGTTCAACAAATACAGAAGTGAATTTCCTGTTCCTAGCCCTGGACCACATGGTACAGGTTGCTTCTAATGAAAATAAGTAATTTGGCATCAACTGGTTTACAAAGGACATGTGGCTACAGCAAACATAGTTTATACTCTAGTATGGGAGGCACTGGATCAGTTTTTGCACGTTTTCAAATGAAATGGCAGTGTTAAAGATTTTTCACTTTTGAATTTGAGCCTAGGAAAACTTTTGCTGTCAATCCTAAGGATATAGGTTGCAATAAATTGTAACTGCACAATCAAACTAAAGCCTGTGTGAATTACTTGTTTATCTGCAGCAACCAGATTGTCATCAAGGTTTACTGCTGCCTGGTTCTGTATGGCTGCAGCTGGAACACAACTGCTGCAGAATGCTAACTTGTTCCCTATGCTGCCACTGGTCAGCCACAGTTCAAACCATGAGGAAATAAGGTAGTGTAGTCCAGATGTTGCTCCTCTACTCAATTTTCTTTTCCTTGTAGTAAGGGAATATATGCCAAAGTCTCCAAGTTCATTGTTTCTGCTGAGCCTATCAGGTAAAATAAGGTGTCAAATATTTTCTTGGGCTAAAGCTGCTGATTCAGAGAATGAATTAGGCAAGATGAATACTTTATCTTAAGTCTTCAATCAATCTATGCTGTCTCTGCTGAGAGTTCCTCCCTGTGCCTGCAGTAGTTTGCTGTATCAGTTCAAAAGGCAATGCAGTGCTAACAAGGTTGCAATATGGGGAAGGTGTACAGGTACCTTTCCTATGCCAGTTCTCCTTGTCTGGGAACAAGAATTGTCCTCTCTATCTTGTTCAAATAGCTAGTGGCTGTTCCTCTCTGTATTTAATGTTCTACATCAGATATACCAAAATGAAAACAAGTAGACTTCTTGGTCAGGAAAGACCTACCCTTGCTGTGAGACATCTCTAGCTTTGCCTAATAAAAACAACTCACTCAATTCTGTTTCTAGTCTGGGCCCAAGACCTGACCTTTTCAGGTAACTCTTGTGTCACTTATTGTGCTTGTCACAAATGTGAGGCTATAAAGGCTTCTAAGACTCTGAAAGTGTATGTAACTATGCTGCTTATCTTTCCTATGCTTCTTCAAAGCAATGTGACATAAGACTTACTGATGACTTAATCTTTCTCCCCATGTGCCACTGGGGAGAACATAAAACAACTCGAGGGAAGAAGAAATGTATACAGAAACTGGTTTTGGACACAGAAATGAGCAAGTCAGTTGGGGACAGTAAATTTAGTGCAACTGAATGTGTGTAAACTGATAAGGCTGAATCCTGTGATGCCACCTGGTGCAGTGCCCAGAAAGTACTTCTGTTGATACAATAAACAGTGACATTTCCCTGTAGAGATCTGCTTGGATGTTGAAGCTCAGCATTCTGTAGTGGGTCCTGCAACCAGCAGTTGTCAGATACCAATCACAATGCTTCATTCAACCCAAAGAGATCTCTTTATTTGTGAGCTAAGTAGAGAAGGCCTCCTTTTCTGTGTCACAGCTCAGAAAGCAGCAACTTTGTACAGCTCACTTTCTAATACAGTAGAGCTGCATTCTCTTTTGGAAAAGGAAATGCCTCAATCTCTTGGTTTGCTCCTAATTACAATCAAGCCTCTTCTCACAGTGTAAGCTACAGTGCTTTACATTTTTCATGTTTGTGGCATCTGCTGATAGCTGTTACAAAGAGATGGAATTCAATAGGTAATGGCACTGCCTGAACAATAAAACTTATATAGCAATTGAAGTGTAAATTGGTCTGAAACTAGGCTCTTGGGTGCCACTTCTGCCATATGAACTGCTTCCACAACATCAATCTGAAGTGGAAATGAGTACCTTAGCCATGTTTGCATTGAAAAGGTGCAAAAATTACTTCAGGCTATTGTTTGAGCACTAGGGAAAGCTACAGCAGCCTTGAAGCACTGTTGTACCCAGGGAAAAAGGATCTGAGGTAAGGATGGCTACAGGTACAATGAACTTCAACCCTCTGCAACTTTTTTCCCATGATACAAAGATTGGCACTAAAATAACATCCAGTCTTCTCAACTTTCTTTTAAAAGCTCTCATTATGAACTGATCCAAGTGGTCTGCAGTATAGCTGTGTATACATGCTGAATAATGAGATATCACAACTAAGACATGATTCACATAAGGCAGATATTTAATGTGAACATTGATAATAAAGCCTCCTATTACTTAACAAAGTGGAAACAACTCCTGTGTACTGCATCAGGAATTAGACTGTCTGATTTTGGCTTCCAAATCATGTCAGAATTGTATAGCAAAATAAAATTTGTTGTTTTTTCCTTCCACCTCTATGAAAAACCCACTGTGCCTCCAACTTGTGAATTCCTTGTTAGTCTTTACTGTTCCTGATCCAGACAGGAAGTGTTCAAATACTGACTTGTAATTCATAATTTGGCTTTAATGAGGTTTTTACTTCAATCCATACTATCAAGATAGCTCTAGAATAATTTTCTAATGCCATAGGCAAATCACTTGTAAAACCTAAGTAGCCTGCAAATCACTGGCATCTTAGCATGGGAAGTTCTATTTTTTTTTCCTCATGGTCATTACTTGGCATCTGAAAAGATGTGTGAGAGATGCTTAAACTCTAGCACTAGATTGTATTTGCTCAACTCTTAAGAGACCTGGATTAAAGTTTTTCATCATTTATTTCTTTTAATGTTGGCAATCACCTCAAAGTTACATGCATAAGAATACCAAGGCTAGTCTTTTGCACAGTCGGTCATGTATGGTAACCTAGGCCCTTCCTCACTAAGAACTGTGGTACTTGACACACTCAGAGGTGTCATAAAGGACTATCTCTTCAGACCAGAGGCAAAAGCAGGGGCAGAAAACAAAATTTTCATTATTTGGCGGTTGAACAGGCTGCCTGAAATGTACATTTAATTCAAGCTCGAGAGGTCCTGAGCTGCCAGCTTTCTCAGCTGGAAGAGAAGGTTGTTTTTGTAATATTTGGTTGTAGCCTACAGACCTGATCAGAATCTACTGCAGTTGAGGCTGAGTATTCCATGTAGTTTTGGGGTTTTCATATTAATTCCTGCTCATATTTCAAAGTAGCTACATCCTTGCTAGGAAAGAAGCTAGGAGTATGATACACCCCTACACCTCTAATTGCTTCTAGAAAATAAGTATTTTGTTTTCAAGAGAGGCAAATCACCTTCTTGCAAACTACTAAAACTGAACACTAGCTCTCCCTTGCCACAGCTCAGAAACAGCCCAGGACTATGGTCCACTGTCAGCACTAATGCACAGGAGGATGGGGGTAACAAAAAAGGTGCTTTCTGCTGGAAAAGGCATCTGAGTAGGAGCATACAGGAGTAATGCTGGCTTGTCTCTATGTAGTGATTTCTATATGCACTTAGTATTGTCTAAGAACTGTTCATCTGCCTGTGAGAAAACTCAGGCAGGTGGAGATAAAACAGGTGTTTGTTTAAAACAGTAACTTGCAAAAACTCACAACATGCGGGACATGCAACTACACTAAATTTGTGAGAGCAAGGCCACTTGCTGCATTTTGGAGACATTTAGAAAGACTTCAGCTGGTACAAGTTACTGCAATTTAAGGTCTTCCTGCTACGAGATGCTAAATGAAAATGCTCTAAGACAGGTGTTAATCACTAGCAGCAACCAGACTCAAAAAAATTTTCATTCGTGGCTACTGCTGTCTTTCACTCCTAGACAGAACAAGAACTCTAGTCTTTGGGTACAGGCTCAGATTTCAGAGGGAGCACAGAGTGCTGGCTGTATTTTTTGCCATGAAAAGCACAGAATATTCTTATCCCAAGAGCAGAAATCTTTCTAAGCTTGAAAGAACAACTTACAATGGTGAAATCTTTACTTCCCAGTCAGTTCACATTCCCATGCCTATAAACAAGTTCTTCTACGTCTAAGAACAATTAATCCACAAGTGAATATGAATGTATCATTTATTGGAGGTGGACAATTCACATGATTAAGAGTCACAGGTAACAAATTTTATCTGGAATTTGAATCAGATGTTTATTTTGTGATTTTCAGGGGCAGCTTCAAAGAAATACAAAAGACAAGCAGCAACGCATCACAATCAGATGCGATCAAGGAAAAAACCTAACAAATGAACCCTCAGAATGCAATTTAAACAGCAAAAAGAAAAAAAAATCCTGACTTGTGATGAAAAAGATGCATCTTGAAGGCAATCCACTGAATGGCTTCTTCAATTATTTATTGTTTAAAAAGTATGCAAACCATGGCACAGGCATATCCAACCCTTTCAGCTGTGAGGAAAAGAAAACCTCATCCTAACATATTCATTGCATAAATCTAAAGTAATATACAGAAAATTTCAAGTAAAGGATTGTGGTCTGAAGTAAAAATTCCATTTCATAGTTAAAAAAATTAGAAGGCTATCTGTTTTTCTTCTCTCCATCCACTGGTTGATCCGTTTCAGAGTCATACTGGCATTTTTCCACACACTTCCTAGGGAACCAGCCTCGTTCTCTTATTCCACCTTAAGACATGAAAATTTGCATTAACTTGGAAAAAAACCATGACCCACTACAGAGGAAAAACACAGGACTGGAAGAGACATCAAGCAGTAAGTTATTTTCTTCTGTAAGACAGAACATCTAAGTCATTCCTAACATCACTGCCTTAGGATGCATTGATTCTTTTCCACTACCTAAAATGTTTTCAGATATCTCCAAAGTTCTCCAGTCCTCTACCTTCCTTGAGAAAAATTCATCCTAATACCCTATCTTAATCTTTCTGTCTATAAATCAGGTTCACAAGTCCTCTTTCTACACACCAGGGACAGAGGAAGCAGATAAACTTCTCTACCACAGACTTTCATACACCTGATGACTATTTGTACATACCTTGGGCTCTCTATCTCCTACTTCTCTCCAGGTAAGCCATCCCAATTCTTTCAGCTTTGCCTGCTAAGTCACATTTTCTATTATTCTAATTATTTTCACTGTTTTCCTCTCAACCCTTTTTAGCTGATCTTACTCTTTCTTGAGATGCAGCAACTGCTTTTACTTGTGGCAGTATTTCAGCCGAGTCTCTGCTGATGTTGAAGGATTATTTCATACATCTGGGAAGCTATATGCTTTTTTCTTTTGTGAAAGTGTTGACTCATCTTAAGATTATGATTGAGTCCTTTTTTCAACAGAATTGCTACTTAATCATTCATTTTGCCATCTTGTTATAGTGCAACTTGTTATTCCTGCTTATTTATAGCATTTGCTATACATTCCTAACAAATTTCAT